GGAAAAACCTTCGTTTAAAATGAAAATTTTCAAGTTTTTTCCGAAGGAGGGTTTTTTGGGGGGGAAAAAAAAAAAAAAAAAAGAAAACGTGGGAGAATGGAAAATTCGAATTAAAATTTTTTTTTTTTTGTTCGAAAATTATTCGAAATTAGTAAAAAAAAAAAAAAAAAAAAAAAACAAACTTACTTTGTACGGCCCATTTTGTCAAATTATGAAGTCCCTCTAAAAAATAAATTGATTGTTTTTGACATTTTTCATTTTTAATTTCTTTTATCAGCGGGTAAAAATACGTTAAATTTTGCGGTAAAAGCGGTAAAATATCTTCTGCTGTGACTTCCGATATTTTTTCCGGATATTTACTCCTGAAATTTTTTTCAAAATAATTTCGTATCATATCCATTTTACTACTATATTCGTTATTATTATCATTATTATCATCATCATAATCGTATATCATATCGTTTGTTTTCTCCCCATCGGATATTTTCACGACGAATCCTTTACGATTCAACAGGTTTCGAAACCTTAAAAGTGATTCGCTCGTTAAATTTTCCGGTTTCTTTATTTCGAATTCTAAATCGTCCGTATCGTTTAATTTAACTTTTATTTTACTTTCCGGTGTCAAAATTGTTTTTTCCATTTCCGTCGACGAATCCATTGATGATTCTGTCGTTTCCGGTGTTCTTTCATTTCCCGAAAAAGGTATCATCATTTCATCCAAGGTACTCACACTCGGATCTAATAAATTTATTAATAAAACGTACGATAATAATACTTTGGAAAACATTTTCATTTTTATTTATTTATTTATTTATTAAAAACGCGCGAGATTTAAATTAAAATTTGAATTAATTATTTTAATAACAATCACTCCGAAAAAAAATCAATAAATTCACTCATAATAAATTAATATTAATAATAATAATAATAATAAATAAATAAATAAGTAAATAAATAATTTCTTATTGGAGCGACTATTAACACACCACGACGCGATAAAATTTCAACTGATTTTCTATCAACCCGACTCTCGTATAATATAAAATTAGGTTCGGTTATGTTGTTTATATAAAAAAATTATTTATAAAATGACTTTGAATTTAAATTAAATAAATATAAAAAATTAGGTCTTTTAACGTTGACCGCGGTTTCCGCAATAATTGCAATTCAACTCTTGTCAGGTATTAAAATAATGGACGACGGGGTGGGCGAACCTGTACTTATCCTCCGTTTGTTTTTTGTTGATGGGAGGAAGAAGGGGGAGGAAGAGAGGGAAATGAAAAACTGGAACTACTTCTTATGTCGCGAGGAGCGTGTTTAAAAATTTGTTGATGTAAGGAGTGAACCTGACCCGACTGAACCTGACCAACTTGTAAAAAAAAAAAAAAAAAAAAAAAAACATAAATTCGAGCGGAAATGTTTGGAATGAAAATAAGTTTTACGAACGATGGATCGTACGGAAATTGTTTGTTGCGAAAAAACCAAAAAAAAAAAAGAAAATTCGAATAATTTTTTTTTAAAAGTTCAATGTAAGCCTCAAATTCGTTTCAAGGTTGATTAAGGTACGTTCGAGAATAATTTCCGGATTTAATTGTTTGTTTTAACGAGTGAAAGCTTTTTAAAAAGAACTTTGACGCTTATTGTAAATTCATCGTAAAATTTTTTTTCTTAAGGTTAAATAACGGAATTAAAACAATTTTCCAAATTTTCCCATTTCCGGTTTCGTTTCCAAAAAATTTTTTTTTTTTTAGAAAATTTAACATTTGGAAAATTATTTTTCGTCTTTTTATGATTTTCCTACCGTTTGAAAATGCGTTTTTCCACGCGGTAAAAAAAAAATTCCCGGATGACGACGATGATGATGATGATGATGATAATAATGATGATGGCGACGAGTAACGAATTTTAAAAATAATTTTTAAATTTTTGGATAATTTTAATTGTAGTAATTGGATTTTTTGTATTAAATATGACGTAAAATAATAATAATAATAATAATGGGAATTTTCATGATTTAGAAAAAATTTTTTGCCACCAGGGGGTTTTTATCATCATCATCATCATTATTATTATTATTATTATTATTATTATTATTATTATTATTATTATTATTATTGTTATTATTATATTTATAAATAAATTTTTTTTTTTTTTCGGTTTCATCCTAAACCAGGAAGTCATTTTGTTTAATTAAAAATTTTGCAATTATTAATTCCTTTTTTTTTAATAATTTCACATTAAAATTTATTAAAATCTTGTTTTGCCCCTTTTCAATGTCGAATCAGACCGGTAAACATTATTATTATTATTATTATTATTATTATCATTATTATTATTATTATTTGACAAAAATGAAAAAATTAATTGAATTATAATGAATTTACAAAACTTTTATTCATTTATCATTACCATCATCATCATCGTTTAAATCTAACGACTTAAGGGCGGACTTGAAAGTTCGATAAAATACCGGCGGGGGGCGGTGGAAGGAAATAATAATAATAATAATAATGAAGTATTAAAAATTTTTCTTAGTATAGGCAACTGGAAAAATTTTTGGAAAGAAAAACCAAAAAAGAAAAAAAAGTTTCTATAAATAAATAAATGTTTAACGCGATGCTAGTTCTGATTAGGTCAAGGTACCCCGAGTTTCGTGCCTGTTTTCGAAGGTATTTGTTATTTAATAAATTATTATAGATATTTCGTTCGGTAAAAAAAAAAAAAAAAAAAAAAAAAAAAAAAAAAAAATTTCCCCCCTGAAAAAAAAAAAGAAAATTCTATTGGAGATTATGAAAAGTCGACGATGACGTTTTCCCCTCTTTCTCTCTCCAGCACTTTTCCATATTGTTTTTTTTTTAATTAAACGGAAAAGCGAGTGAATTTCCAGGGAAATGATTAAACGTTTATCCGAACAAACTTTCTGGAATTTTTTTCCTTAAAAACGAGAAGATGTTAAAAAAAAAAATGAAACGTTTTAATCGATAGATTTTTACATAATAAGTATCTCATAAGTAGTGATAAAAAAGAGGTCAACCATAATCGATCGATTTGTTTTTTAGGCTCCATTTTGTTTTAAACTATAAAAAGTCGACAAATTTAATTTAATTTTTTTTTTATTCAAGGATATATAAACATTACGT